CCGTTTTGCGGTGTGCGCCGCCTCCCGTCGCTGGGCGCCAATCCATTCGCACCCCCCTCCCTTTCCCCCTCCTCTCCGCCGGTATGCGTCCGGCTGTGGTGCGAGGGCGGGCGGGGGGTGCGTATCTCTTCTTAGTTGCCGGAGGGGACTTTGTGTGCTCACTCCCGCAGCACATGTGAGGCACATGAGTTCGGTGTGGCTTGCCGGTGGCGCCTCGCTGCGCCGTGGGCGTGTTTGCGTCTTCCCTCTTCTGACGGGTCGCCTTCACCGGGTTCCGTTCACCCCTCATTTGATTTGCACGGAGTGAACGCACGTGTTTTTCCGCGTGCGTGGCGGTGGCAGTCCGAATCGGTGTTGCAGGTTGCGTTTGCGTGCGCTGCGGGAGGGTGCGGCGGTGGCGTTGGTTATATTTTCAGGTTTGTTGTTTGTTTGCTTGTGCGTTTGCTGCTTTTTGCCTGGCCACACGTCGTGTTCGCCAGAGTGGGGTTTTGTTTGCTGCCGGTCCCCGCGCCCCCTCCCGTGTGCCCCATTACTTTCGCCACTTTTATTTTCACTTTGCTCTGCGTTTGCGTTTGCGGCTCGCATTTTTATGGACGTTTTTTTTTTTTCGGGCGCCGCGTGTTGTCCTTCGTGCCTCGTTTTTTTGCTGCGCCCACCCCGCCGCCGTCGGGGCGTGGCCGGGCGACGTGCTCGTGCACGCAATTGCCGCCAGTGCGCCCCTATTGCCTTTCCCCCGCGGCGCCGCCTGCGGCAGCACGTGTGTGGTGCAGACGGTCTGCGCGTCTTTGGGGGCGGTGTGCGGCCCTGCACCTGCATCTCTTTTTTTTGTTCTTGCGTTGCCTCTGCCGTTCCTTCCCGCGGTGCCGAAAAGTGGCGGTGGGTTTGCGGTGCACCATGGTTGCCTTGCGCGAGCAGCGTGCCTTTGGGCGATTGCCCACGCAATCGTCGAAACGAGGGACGGTGGTCCCAGGGCTGCACTGCTGTAGGGGCGTGGCGGCGGTACTGCAGGCAACGCGCCTGTGGCGGGGCCGCCCTGACGGGTGAGGGAGGGGGGGCTCCCGGATGCGGCGGCCATCAGGTGCGGTGTGCTGCGCACGGTGGGGGAGTGGTGGCTGCGTCTGGTTTTTGTCACGTGGGTTTTGTGCGCCGCGGGGCCTGTCGCCACGACGGGGGCGGAGAGGTGCGGTCGCGGCCACACCGCGGGGTCCTGGGATGTTTTTGTTGTGCGCGGGTGAGCGCCAGGGGCGGACGTGGAGTATTTCTGGTGGTTGTGCGGCGGCGTTACCCACTCTTCACTGTCGGCGGTTGGTGTGTGTGGCTGGTGTTGCTAGCCTCCGTCTCCACAGTTTGCCAGTTTGTTCGTGTGTGCCTACGCCCGCGTGTGTGCTGCTGCAGTGCACAACAACTGCCTGCACCTGCGCCGGGCAGCTGCGCTGGTGCGTTTCTCACGCTGCCCTGGCGAGGCCGCGGGCTGCCTTGCCGTGGTGCCAGGACTCGGTGCCTTCGACTTGTTGTTGGTTGATGGTGGTGGCGGCCGGGCTTTGCGTGGCGCCGTGCTGAGGAGGCCCGGGGGATGTGTGGTGGATTTCCCACCCAACATCTGCAGGTGCCGAGGGTGTGCGGCGTTGCGGCACCGCTGCTAGCGGTGTGTGAGGA